GGATGCAATGCAGGTCTCGTGGGTCGGAGTTGTCCTGCGGCCCCTCCCCCAAGACGGCCGCCAAGCGCTCCATGCCGGAGATGCGCAAGATGTTGATGTCGTTGTCACAGCAGAAGGCCTGGATGAGGGTGAAGTGGATCTGGAGGGCGATATCGTCCTCGTCTTCCTCGTCGATGGCCAGCAGGCACAGAACCACGCTGTCCGGGTCGCTGGAAGAGGAGGAGGGAAATCCGGTCAGGATCGGGCCCGTCAAAGTTCAACCACCCCTTTTGATCTCAGGCTGCTAAATGCCCCCCCCCCAATGAAACAGATTCATGTTTGGTTCCCAAACTCTCTTTAAAAACCAAGCCCTTTGTGCAAATCTAGCTAGCCTAGCCTACCCGCCTCCAACCTGGTCATTTGGAAAAGCCAAGTTTTGAAACAAACAAACAACAATTCAACACTTACACATTCATGAGTTTGGCCGATTCGTAAACGCCAACGGTTAAGCAGCCCTGCCTCTGGGCAGCTACCAAGAGATCCTCCACAGCTTCACTGACGGATTTCATCCTTTGCAAAAAGAAGGGGGGGAAAAGACATACACAATCAGACCAGAGAATCAAGCCAAGCCCAAAGTGGGAAAGATTTTTCTGTTCGTTCAAAGAAGATTCTCTACGATTTTGCTCTGAACCCTAAAAGGACTCCGGAAAAGACACTTACTTTTTCTCGGTGTTGGCACAAGCCACCAGCTCTTCCAGAGTCATACTGCAAGTAATCCGCAGCGGCACCCAAATCCAGGAGAGAGGTTTCAAAACGAATCGAAAGAAAGCAGCAATGTTTCCAAATCGGCACCTCCAAGCGCCGCGAACTGCAGAGCGAGCAGACGGACTCCAAAAAAGGAGGCAAAACCCACAAGTTCCAATGAGGAAACGGTGCAATTAATCCAGCAAGGCAAAGGAGACGAAACCAAACAAAATACAAGATAACTCTCCCGATCCGGAACGAAAATTCTTCTCCAAAAGCCGTTCAGTTTCTGACGTGGGGAAAGCGGCTGACAGCACCTTTTATGACATCCCCAAAGGGGGCGTGGCCTCGCGGGGTCTTTTCCCTTTGCCATTGGTTCCCAAGCAACAAAGGAAGTCCACGAGAGACACGGGATTGGTTGCCTTCTAGAAGCCACCACGTGGGGGTGGGGAAGTGTCGCAAGCCGGTGAAGTTTTTTTCAAAAGAGAGGAAAGGAAAAAAAAAACGAGAGAGAAAGAGTTTCGGTTGATTTTCCCAGCAGTGGAAGTTTCTGTAGCTGGCCTGGGATTTCCACAGAAAAAAAGGGCAGGGTTTTTCTCTCTCCCTCTCTCTCTCTTTTGCAAAGTCCCTTTGAGTTTCTTTGGGGGAATTATTATTTTTTAAAAAACAAACAATAAAATAATGGTCCAGATGATTTGAAAAGGTGGAAAGGTTAACTGCGAGAAGCAGCGAGCGAGGATCTAAAAATGCACGCGTGCAAGATTGGACTTTTTTTTGGTTGCATTTTGCAAAAGTCTCTCTCTCTTTAGCTGTTGCTTTTTATATATAACGTTTCCCCGGTAGTGGCAATTTTATTTTGTGCTAAAGAGAAAAAAAGAAAAGCGAGGTGCAATCTGTCAGG